CGGGTATCGTGCGTGCGTTCAGCATGCGGTAGTCTCCGCATGGGCGCCAACTGTTGTCCTTCTTGGGCGCTAGGTGAAGGGGCGAAGACCATGAGCTTTCCGAAGGACGAGCTGTGCCGTTGCTCAACATGAGCTCGAACTGCTGCTTGGCAATCTTCATCTTGTCAGGTGCTAACCTACGAGGGGTACAGGAAATAGGTGGTCCTGGAGTGGTCCTGATGTGGTGTACCGTATTGTGTTTAGGTGTATAGTGTGTGCCTGATGGTCGTGTAATCTCAGGATACATATCTAAAATAGCATGGAAACAAGAGGAACCAGTTAATATTTTAACAGAACACACATCATTATTTGCAGAAGAAGCTATACATGATAAAGTGGTTGTATTGTCGATCAACCGGTGGTTCTTACAATCTACAACTAAATTATAATGACTGAGGAAGTCTACACCAATTATTGGCTTTGTAACATTAGCCACGGTAAAACGCCACTGGTAATTACGTCTTAAATCTAAGTCTAGACACAGGTCGATAAAGCCGTAGGTTTCGATGTCACTACCGTTAGCCGCACTGAGCACAAAATTAGCTTTTTGCCGGCGCTCACGAAGCGTTGCACGTGGGTACACGCAGACGTCGCTTCCGGTATCCACCAGGAAGCGGGTGTTGTTGCGGCGGTCGGTCACAAAAAGGCGGCCGGTAGGTGGGCAACCGTCTGTTGCCATCGTCGTGGTGCTGGCGGGCTGGTAGGTGCACGGCTGGGCGCACTTCACCGCCTTGTCTTGGTACTTGGCGTGGTACCAGCAGATTGCTGGCTTGGCTGGTGCTGGAGCAGGTTGTGGTTTCCGTTTTTGAATTTTAATGCGATGTTGCTGACGTCGGTGCTGTGATGCTGTGTGTCCCCGGCTATGTTGTCGATGTCGGCAGGTGGAGTCGGGGGCAGAGCATTGTATGTCGATTTGTTTTGTTAATAATGCAATCATTTGCCTTAATTCGGCGATCTCGTTGTCGCACGTAGATGGTATACGCGCGTC